TTTAAATTGTGCCAGCTAGAAGGGAGAAGATCCCCCCCCCCCCACTAGCCGTCACAACGGAGATCAGGGGGGCTGGTCCATTTGTAGCATGTTCCATATTACACCCTGAATATGGGTGTAACATGTTACAAAAGGTGAACTTATCCTTTTAAAGAACAATTATTATTGTACATGGACATTCTTCTTTGCCAGGTATGAAAACTCTATGCCTCACACTTATACCTTCCTATAATCAGTACTTGACCAGAACTTGGCCTTAAGCACTCTGAAAAGACAGTATTCTTTTTCAGAAACCACTGACCTCGCTCTCCCTTGTCAAAACCTTAATTCAAGGTGTATCTAGGATCAGGCCTTCCTTACAGCATCCTGTGTTTCCATGGGACCTCAACTTGGTTCTCTTTTCCCTGCAAAAACTACCTTTTGAACACATCAGTGATTTCCCATTTGATGACCTCTCCTGCAAAGTGGACTTCTTCGTTGCCATCACTTCTGTCAAACGTGCCTCTGAGGAACAGCTCCTTACAAGAATGAGTCGCCAGCTCATTCTTCATAAAGACAAGGTAGTCTTATACCCAAGCCCATCTTTTCTTCATTGAGGTGAAAGACTGATACCAGCTTCAAGCAGAAAGCTTGTACAGAGGTATTCCATGCACCATGAGCAGATCTAGGGGGGTGCTGGGGTGGGCAGACTTCAGTTGTGTTGCCCCCCCAGGCAACTTCCTCCCCCTGATGGATGTTGTTGTACTCTGGCAGGGTTTCCAGCTGTCCATCAGAAGGAGCTTCAGCGGCTGTTGGTTACACTCACAATGCCAGCCAGCAAACTCCCCATCTCCCTCATGTCTCTTCCCCCATCTGTCTCCTTACACCCCCCCCCCCTTCTTCCAGGAGCTCCAGAAATGTGCTCAATTGATTTCACGTCCAGTTAGCACTTAGGGACATCTGAATTCTGATGAAAGGGGGCACGCCGATAGATTCTGAAGACTCTGATGTAAGGTGGTAAAACTATGGAGACACTGATGTAAGGTGAGATTTCGGAGACAAGCATGTAAGGGGGGATTCTGATGTATAGGGGCAATGCTGGGGGACTCTGATGTGAACAAGACACTCATCCTCACTGATGCACTCAATATGTTGCTGCCAGCCGTGCTGATCAAGTGGAAATTTTCCTAAAGGCTGATTGTACAGAAGTTGATCGGCACCTAAGACGAAAATGTCCTTTTTGTGTGAATAAAAACATACATTTTGTCATGCTGTCTTGACTTTTTAATTGTTAAACCAGGCAGATTACTTGTTATGAGTACTGTTAATAGTTTCCGGCTGATGGTACGCATATATGCGGCCTCTCAGTGGGTGGGCATTAAGGCCGAGAAGCTGCATATATGCGGCCCTGTGTAATTACTTTCCTGTGCTGAGGGCGTGCCACGCGAACTTCCAACACAGTTGCCAGTGGGGACCAGACAGGTTCCGCTACATAATTATGATCTGCAGCTTTCCGATCATGTGACCACTGTGACAACCAATCCCAGCGGTCACATAACCCAAATGCCTGCCTCCCATCATTTAGAAGCTCTTAAAGAGCCAAGAGGTGGCGGTGGGAAGTGGTTAATATTGTCAATGTTTACATATTGTTTATACTGTTCAAAGGTACAGTTTCCTTTAGGAACATATTATACATCCTCTACCCTGCTAACCCTCTGTACACTGCCATACTGACCTCTGTACACTCCCCTGTTGACCTCCCATCCTCTGCCCCCTGACATTTTTACTGCACCACCCACGTCAGACTGGCTAGATCCAGCCCTGCCATGCACAAAGTAAGTTTAAGGGCTTCCTGTCCACGTTTATTAGCCAGAGTTTACAACAAAATCAGAAGATTCCCTTGCAGGGGTAAGAATCACAGTCCAAAACAAAAGTCCAGCAAAACCGTTATTAAGCCTCTGAGTTAGTAAATAGACCACACTGGGTCTGCTTCAGACCTACAGACCTGTTACCACACAGCCTGCTTGCTTCCTTTCCCAGCAACACCCATTAACACAGGAAAAGACAAATTATACCTCAGGTGGGGAGCAAGGTGTGGTCAGTGGTTAACCCCCTGCAATAAACCTTCCACTGCCACCCGTTCACTTCATGAACCACAAAATCCTATGGGGCGATACACTCCATCTGTAACTGACAAGTAAGGGTTGCCACACTCTTTTTATTTACTGCCTGGGGGACATCTCAGGATCTATAAATACTTAGCCTGGGGCAAGCACTGTAAAATTAAGTTAAGAGGAATTTTGAATTGCCTGTAAATTCCATATCTTGGAGTACAGTCCAGAACACAAGCCACCCTTCCTCCTATTCCTGAAGGTACAGACTGGAGCAGGGGCGGACTGACAACTCATGGGGCCCCCGGGCAACAGGGGATCATGGGGCCCCGTGTCCTTGCCCACACTCAAAAAAGCCTATAAAAAAGGTACCAGGGGCATTTCATGGGGCTCCCTACTGACCCCGGGCCCTCGGGCAGTGCCAGAGTGCTCGAATGGTCAGTCCACCCCTGGACTGGAGTAGGGCTTTGCTCAATAATCCCATAATCATTTTAAAGTAGAATTTCAGCCTAACGCTATGCTCAAAAATGTTTTCTCCCCCCCTTCTGCCACCTATGCTGCCTAACCTGTGCAAAAAAAAAATATAAATAAATTAAAAAAGGCTGTGTATACTTACCTATTTTCAGTCCGCTCCGATCACGTGAGCCACAGCTCTGTTCCCCATGTCCATGAGCAGCTGCTGCAGGGGAGAGGAGGGATGCCAACAGCTGGGACATTGAAGCCTATGAGTGATGTCATAACTCCCAGAATTTACAGCTGGTGATCCCTCCTCTCCCGTGTAGCCACCACTCACTGAGACAGGAGATCACGTGGCGGTACTGGAGTGGACAAAAAATAAGTATAGGTAGCATGAGGGGACATTTTAAAGCATACTTATAGTTAGGCTGGAATTCTACTTTAAGGGCTGATACAGGAAAAATATGCAAGAAATAACCTTCCAGGTGTCCAAAGCAAGTAGCTTCCAGTTCTCATTTCTTTAAATCAGATCTAATTTGAAAATCAGAATTCTGATTAGTACAAGAAAGTTTCCGGTTAGCTGACTTTTCACTGATCAGTCCATTTGTGTATATGTACATTAGCATTGCTTAAAAGAATAAAACCTTATTCATACTGCCAATGTCAACCCTACATTTATATGAGTTTAAAAGACTAAATGCATACATACATATATACATATAAATAAACTGTGCATTTAGTTGCATTACGTTTAGCTGCATTAGAATCACATCAATGCAAGTCACAATGTAATCTACAGTGAAGGAAATAAGTATTTGATCCCCTGCTGATTTTGAATGTTTGCCCACTCACAAAGAAATGATCAGTCTAAAAATCGAATGGTAGGTGTATTGTAACACTGACAGGCAGAATAGCAACAAAAAATTCAAAAGAAATGCATGTCTAACAAATTATGCACTGATTTGCATGTTCATGAGGGAAAGTATTTGATCCCCTTCACAAAACATGGCTTAGTACTTGGTGGCAAATCCCTTGTTGGCAATCACAGAGGTCAGACGTGTCCTGTAGTTGGCCACCAAGTTTGCATACATGTCAGGAGGGATTTTAGCCCACTCCTCTTGGCAGATCCTCTCCAAGTCATTAAGGTTTGGTGGCTGACGTTTGGCAACTCGAACTTTCAGCTCCCTCCACAGATTTTCAATAGGTTTAAGATCTGGAAACTGGCTAGGCCACTCCAGGACCTTAATGTGCTTCTTCTTGAGCCACTCCTTTGTTGCCTTGGCCATGTGTTTTGGGTCATTGTCATGCTGGAACACCCATCCACGACCCATTTTCAATGCCCTGGCTGAGGGAAGAAGGTTTTCACCCAAGATTTGACGGTACATTGCCCCGTCCATCGTCCCTGTGATGCTTTGCAGTTGTCCTATCCCCTTAGCAGAAAAATACCCCCAAAGCAGAATGTTTCCACCACGTTTGACAGTTGGGATGGTGTTCTTGGGGTCATAGGCAGCATTCCTCCTCCTCCAAACACGGCGAGTTGAGTCCAAAGAGCTCGATTTTGGTCTCATCTGACCACAACACTTTTAACCAGTCCTCCTCTGCAGAATTCAGATGTTCAGTGGCAAACTTCAGATGGGCCTGAACATATGCTTTCTTGAGCAGAGGGACCTTGGGGCACTGCAGGATTTCAATCCTTGTCAGCGTAGTGTGTTACCAATTGTTTTCTTGATTACTGTGGTCCCAGCTGCCTGGAGATCATTGACAAGATCCTCACGTGTAGTTCTGGACATGATTCCTCACTGTTCTCATGATCATTGACACTCCACGAGGTGAGATCTTGCATGGTGCACCAGATCTAGGGAGACTGACAGTTGTTTTGTGTTTCTTCCATTTGCGAATTATTGCACCAACTGTTGTCACCTTCTCACCAAGCTGCTTGGCGATAGTTTTGTAGCCCAGCCCAGCCCAGTGTAAGTCTACAATCTTGTCCCAGACATCCTTGGACAGCTCTTTGGTCTTTGCCATGGTGGAGATTTTGGAATCTGATTGTTTGATTGCTCCTGTGGACAGGTGTCTTTTATACAGGTAACAAAATGAGATTAGCAGCACTCTTTAAGAGACTGCTTCTAATCTTAGCTTGTTACCTATATGAAAGACACCTGGTAGCCAGAAATCCTGCTGAATGATAGGGGATCAAATACTTATTTCCCTCATGAACATGCAAATCAGTGTATCATTTATTAGACATGCTTTTGTTTTGAATTTTTTTGTTGCTATTCTGTCTCTCAGCGTTACAATACACCTACCATTCGATTTTTAGACTGATCATTTCTTTGTGAGTGGGCAAACATTCAAAATCAGCAGGGGATCAAATACTTATTTCCTTCACTGAGTATGTGACATATATTTTACTCAATTTGATGAAATTCTACATGACGCATCAATAACTGCTGTTTAAAAAAAAACAAAACAAAAAAAAAACCCCCCAAACACTGACAGTATTTTAGAATCTTCCCTGTGAATGCTAGTCACCTGGTATTTCACATGCCAACAAAGATGGAAAATATCAAATATCAGCACTTGCCTGTCTATTGGTGTTATGATAACTGGAATTGCAGAAAGACCTATTGCAGTAGTAGCCCATTTTCGTGCTGGCAGAGGCCATCGAGTCACGTGTCCCATTATATAAAGTGAAGCAGCACATATTCTGTTGATGGTAAATCCTGGAATGGCCACAGATGCAAGAGCTTGCCAGACAAAAGTATCTATCACTGCTACTGTAACGCCCTTTGTTCTTTCTGGGCTGTCTTTGTTCAGCTAAAAAAAAAAAAAAATAAATAAGAGGCCAGTACATATTGTGTCGTATTTTGTCTGCTATTTTAAAAAGTCTTATAACCTCCTGTTTTTATATCTTTTTATTATAACTTGACTTACCTCAAAATCCATTTCTTGGGAGTACATAAATGGGACACTGGATGAAGTGAGCCATGTCCATTAATGTACTCCAAGAAAAGGATTTTACAGTAAGTCAAAAATACTATTTTAAGGGACACAAGATGGAGTATTAAGGTACATTGGGACATGCAAAAGCAGTCCAACAGCAAAAGAAGGCAAACACGTTCACAATAACCAACAGGTTAACAGAGGTGGCTCAACAAAGCCTACAGAGCTGCCTAAAGAACAGTACAATCAAAGCCAATCTTGGCTGTGACCTGAACATTAGACTGGTAAAATTTAATAAATGTGTGGACACAAGACCATGTGGCAGTCTTGCATATCTGAGAAACAGATGTCTGATGCTGAAAAGCCCATAAAGCATTAACTGGTCTGGTGGAGTGTGCCTTGACAGAAGAAGTTAGAACCTTGCCCTTGAGGCCATGGGTTTGAATGATGACTTGCTGAATTCATTTGGTGGCAGTAGAACAAAAAACAGATTGTCTGCTACAGTGACCTTCAGGAATGACAGACAAGGAGTCAAAGTGCCAAGGGTAGCTGTAGCTGAGAGGTAAACATCTCTCTATTGTCTGGATGTGGTACACGCTGTTCAAGTTTAGGAACATGCGAGTAATGTCTAGTACACACGATGAGGTTCCACTCAGAACAGGCCTTGCCATGGTCGACCAAAGAAGTTGAGTGCACGTACTCAGCGTCATATCCAGAGGTTGTCTTTGGGATATAGACTTATGAGTGCTGCCAGCATTGCTGCAGAGGTTGAAGGGGTGGGGGGTCAGCCTGTCAGTGCTCAGACCATACACAGCACACTGCATCAAATTGGTCTGCATGGCTGTCATCCCAGAAGGAAGCCTCTTCTAAAGATGATGCACAAGAAAGCCCACAAACAGTTTGCTGAAGACAAGCAGACTAAGGACATGGATTACTGGAACCATGTCCTGTGGTCTGATGAGACCAAGTTAAACTTATTTGGTTCAGATGGTGTCAAGTGTGTGTGGCGGCAACCAGGTGAGGAGTACAAAGACAAGCGTGTCTTGCCTACAGTTAAGCATGGTGGTGGGAGTGTCATGGTCTGGGGCTGCATGAGTGCTGCCAGCACTAGGGAGCTACAGTTCATTGAGGGAAACATGAATGCCAACAAATACTGTGACATACTGAAGCAGAGCCTGGGAAACTGGGCCGCATAGCAGTATTCCAACATGATAACGTCACCAAACACACCTCCAAGATGACCACTGCCTTGCTAAGGAAGCTGAGGGTAAAGGTGATGGACTAGCCAAGCATGTCTCCAGACCTAAATCCTATTGAGCATCTGTCTCAAATGAAAGGTGGAGGAGCGCAAGGTTTCTAACATCCACCAGCTCAGTGATGTCATCATGGAGGAGTGGAAGAGGACTCCAGTGGCAACCTGTGAAGCTCTGGTGAATCCATGCCCAAGAGGGTTAAGGAAAGGCTGGAAAATAATGATGGCCACACAAAATATTGACACTTTGGGCCCAATTTGGACATTTTCACTTAGGGGTGTACTCACTTTTGTTGCCAACAGTTTAGACATTAATGGCTGTGTGTTGAGTTGTTTTGAGGGGAAAGAAAATTTACACTGTTATACAAGCTGTACACTCGCTACTTTACATTGTAGCAAAGTGTAATTTTCTTCAGTGTTGTCACATGAAAAGATATAAAAATATTTACAAAAATGTGAGGGGTGTGCTCACTTCTGTGAGATACTGTATAATAATAATAAAAAAAAAAAAAATCGAGTGACCAAGACCACGCATGCTCAGAAACAAAAGAATATATTACAATACAATACATCACATCTGAAACTGTATTCTGTCTTACGAGAATTTGCCTAACTTTATTAACCTATTCATTTTCGATATGAGACTAGCATGCAAAGAAAAAAAAAACAAAAACAAAAAAATGGGCGATCATTTGTCCGATGTTGTCATTGTGTGTACTAGGCTTAAGGGTAGACAGATGAATATATATAATAGATTCAAATGGCAGTCTCTGAAGAATGTAAGCAACATCCTGTACAAAGGCCTTCGCTAGATAGTGAGAGGCAAGCAGTCTCTGAAAAAGAACCACTAAGGCCAAGATTTGACCCTCGATGGTACTTAAAGGCCAAGTTCACCTTTTAGCAAAAAATAATAAAAGGACATATTTTCTAAAAAATGTGAATGTATTATTATTTTTTAAACAGTAGCCTGCAAAGCATTGGATTGCGGGTGCAGTGTCAGGTACCTGCACATTCTCCCTCCAGCTTTCTACCCTTACCTCCATATGGACTTTTCAGTTAGAAAACTGAAAGAAGATTCAATGGACTACGAGTGCCCTGATCAGTGTACTCATAGTCCATTGAGAACTACAAAACATCTGCCACAGTGGCAGACAGGACTTGTCGTTTTTTTGGGGTTTTTTTTTTTAATTTGTTGTTATTTCTTAAAAAGTTGAGTAAACAGACTCCAAGTCCTAATACATACAAGGGAAGAACACATGTAAATAAACAAAAACACAACATAACAAATATCAAGTGACTTGTGTAATTGCAGTCTACTCCAAAAAGGGAAAAGAAATTAAAGAGGTACTGTATACATAGAAATCCTTGATCAAAGGTTTCACGCGTGAAAATTAAAGAGTAAATTCTGAGGCTGTCAAAGTATCCTCAAGCCATCTAGCCCAAACTTTGTAAAATTTCTTCAGGCATCCCCTATAGGAGGTAGGTATCCTGATACAGTAACAGGATTGAGTTGACAAACTTTTTCCAGAACTGAGAAGATGGTGGTACTCATTGTAAAAGCCTTCTTAGCATAAAAAAAGAGGCCTAAAAACAAACATTGTTTCAGTTGTAGTAGGAGCCACATCCTCAGCGAGGCCAAGTAGGCAGTATTTAGGGGTGGGAGTCAGACCAGTCTGAACAACTGCATTCACAGAGGCAAGGATCTCCTCCTAGTATGTACATATAAACAGGGCACGTCAAGAAAATATGGAAGACCACAGTGCCAGCAGGCAGAAGAAAGTTCTGTGTTCAGTTTCTGGAGATGGTATGGTGTGGAGTACACTCTGTGAACTATTTTAAATTGAATTAGTTTATCCCTAGCTGAAACAAGGGCAGGTTACAGAGATCAGCCAAAACTTTGTCATCCAGGTCCAGGATATAAAGCATTTTTGCCTAAGGGCCGTTAGATCAGAGGGTTTGGCTAGAAGAATGTGTTGGTAAAAACCTGAGGCTGTTTTTTTAAGTTGATTGGCCCTAAGCAGATGTTCAAGAGCAGGGCAGGTCAAATCAAGCTGCTGAGATGAAAACCACCTGCTGAAAGCGTGTTCAACCTGAAGATATCTAAACTGATAATAGGGAAGAAGGTTGTACCTAGAAAAGAGAATCAAAAGGATTCAAAGCATAGTTCTCCACAACATGTACAATAGTTTTAGCTCAGCCCTGTGGGTTTGAAATCGTAAGAAAGTAAGGACAGATTATTTAATGATCAAGTGTACGGAGAATAAGAGCCCGAAGACTCTGATTCCTAGCAAAGGTACAGTCTCTAGGCCTTTACAGTAGTTCTCATAGAGGGGGTATGGGAGTAAGAGGTCATCAGTGGCTGACCCTTGGGACAGAAGATTTGTTGGACCCAGGTGAGAGAATCACCAGAATTCCTCCCTCTGTATCCTGCAGGGCAGGCATGGAAAGTCTAGGGGATTCCTGGACCTGGAGAAAACTTTGAATGTGCAAGGCAGACAGGGCTGGAATATAAAATTCTGCGGAGCCAGAATCAGATTCACAGAGAGTTTTCTGGTTGCTCCCTGATGGCTGATGCAAGCTACCGCTGTAGTGTTGTCTGACTTAATCCTATAGACAGAACTTAACTGACTTAATCCTCATAGACAAAACATTTAAGGGATAACTAAACTGGCCCAGGTTCGCTGGGAGAGGAGTTTCCTCTGATGACTAAATTCCTTTTAACAAGAGAGTATCTAGGACTCCTCCCCAGCCTCACAAGCTGCCATCCATTCTGAGAACCTTCCTAACTAATGGGAGGAAGGATTTGCCAGATTCCATTGCTGAACTTGTGACTCACTGTGCCAAGGCAGACTTGGTTTTGCTGCTCAATTCTATGTGAGGGTTCAGAGGTTGTGTCCCACAAATGCCAGAATATTGAGTTGCAACAATATAAAGTGAAATCTGGCATTTTGGGATTGCCTTGAAAAAAGCCACCATTAAGCCCCAAACCTCCTACAGAAGTATAGAGTTGGCTGGCGAGTCTGGAGTTTGTCCTGCCGAAGCAACCTCCCAAGTGCCCTAAGCGACAAGATTGCAGTACAGATTTCTGGACATATAGGATCCAGCTAAATCTTTGTAGGGTCTGTACAGTCCAATGAACATTTGCCTACAGAGCCTGAGATAACTTACCTCAGAAGAAGGCTGTCTGGAGATCTCACAATGGATATGCTCTGAAAGCAGAGCAAGAACAGAGGCTACCACCCTGATGAAAACCCAAGGTGCAGTGGACATGGAAGGCCCAAAAAATTGATAATTGCAAGTTCACAGGAAAACACAAATAGCATTGATGCATTGGGTAGCCAGGCACATGCAAGTAGGCATCTTTGACTATGAAGGCAGACGGAATTTCAGATGGAAGGAAGCAGTGACTGACCTTGCAATTATATCTGGGGATCTTGTACAGAGAGGAAGGTGTTGAGCACATTTAGATACAGTATGGGGCGGATGTCCCCTTTGCTCCTTGAGCAGGTTTGTTTAAAAACCTTGGAACCTTTCATTTTTTGAGACAATGACTTTGAATACAACATTCTGGACCCAAACATCTTGGGATCAAATGACCACATAGGCCAACAGACATCCTCCACTCTGAGAGCAGCTCTTCACTTTGAGAACATGTTCATAGATTAGGGGGACTTGGGGTCCAGAACTTCTAGCAGTACTGAATTCAAGGGTTTACTTTGGAGGCCTCAGGAGTAGAGGATTTCCCAGATAGAGATTTTGCCTTCTTTTTCTGGGGCAAACGGGGTACACTTCCCTTTCCCTCAGTGACCTCATTGATAATGTTATCCAGGGATTTGCCAAAAAGGCCTTGCCCATCAAAGGGCATGCACAAGAGGTATTTCTTGTACTGATGCTCCACAAACCAACATTTTAGTGAATGGGTCCTTTTGCATATGTATCGATGGTTGGTATGTAATATCCACTAGCCGATTAACATAACAGAGTAAGGCCACAGGCATGAGCTTTTGGTGTAGGAGGACAGAAGGATCCATCAGGAAACATCCAGTATCCTGGAACATAACCTTGAACAAGACAGCTTTGGTTCAGCAGCTGGACATAGTCACAATGACAATTGCAGGGCAGAACCTGTGACTGAGAACAAGGCCTTAGTAGTGCTTCATTGTGGCTGGGTCACAATGGAGACAGGTCCCCACTACTTCTTTAGTAACTTCTACTTCATAGGGTATTGCTGGGAAAACTGGTTAGGAGGCGCAAAGACTTTTTCCAGGTTAGGACAATTGCTATACAAGACTGGATGCAACAGGAAATGCACTGGAACAGTCTTTAACAGGTTGGGGGCCCTTTAAAAACCCAGGCTGATAACTTTAGGTGTAGGTTTAGTTTCATGGTGTCTTGCCTTGTTTTCACAGCCTATAGTATAGTAAATCTCCACATTCTGGTGTCAGCAATTTCTGTTTGAGTTCAAACACGAGGCATGCAACATGGCACTGCAGAGGTTAATGTATGGCCTCTGTCTGTAGTCTAAGAACTGACACTTCCTGTGAAGAAGTTACATATCCCACAATCCCCAGGTCTAGCAATCTAGGACTGTGCAGCTGCAGTGTAATTACTGCAAGTGCAGTAATTAGATCAAGCAGAGCCTTCACAAAAGGATCATCATGTTAGAGGAAATGTGATTTAATCACATTAACACTCCCACCTTTGTGATGCAACAGAAGAAATGGCAAGGCATGAACTGGAACAAGAAATTGTTGTGGCTTTAGCGAATAGAGGCAAACTAGGTGAATACACTGACATAGGGGAAATGATCAGTCATGAGACTACAACCTGCAGCCACAACTCAAGCTCATCACTAAGAGGTAAAGCAAAAAATGACACAGGGAATTTAACTGCACTAAAACAAAAACATTCAAAACTGAACAATGCCTTTGTATTGTCTGCAGATTGAGTCTCCTTGTGTGCCGATACTTCAAATCCTACTCATCCTCGGCTGACTGTGTAAAAGCAACTGCAGCCTTAGGGAATTCAGAGGTGGACACATGCGACCCTTGTGTTCGGAGTTAGCTATCATGTCTGTAATTTTGCCTGTAAACTCAGACATACCAGCTGAGAATTTCTTCCTATATAATATTAAGGAAGGGATTAAGAAAAACTCAAGAGGAGTGCTGTTATTCCAGTAGGAGACAGTGATTCAGGCTATTGGTGCCTGGTCTTTTGGAGAGGACACTGCAAAAGCCCATAGCATTAATGGAGGATTGCAAACTGGCCAGGTCCCCCAAAACCGCTGCCCTTGCTCTTATAATCTGCTGTACCATGGTAGAGAGTGAGAGACTATTGAGAAGGGTATTCACACAAAAAAAAAATGCTGCTGAAGCAGGAAGAGTTAATGCTGTTTGTGACCAGTTCAATATATGGAAGCTGGGAGTCCAGGTAATGCCCTGAGGATAGTAGATTTGATAAATCTGTGGAGATGGTAGGTTGACAATGAGGTTCATGCACCCAAAGATGGCATGCACATGCACAGTATGGGCATGATAGAGGGGACTCAAGCAAAGAGCAGGAGGGCCCAGGGCCAGCGCAGCCATTGAGAAAGCTGTTCAAGTGTCCATTTTAAACACTGGTGCAGCTACTCTTCCCACCGCTGGCTGCACAACCATTAGGATTGCAGTCAGAGCCCAAAATTACAGCTTAGGGGAAATCAGTACTGTATGCACCAAAAAGACTCCCTGCAAGGGCAAAAAAGCCCTTCTCACCAAGATGAGGTCCATTAAAGGCTCTGCAGCATCCCCCAAAGGCAAATCAGGTGATAAAGAGGCAGGATCCAAAGAGGTTGACATTCCTGCCAGTCTTTGCTCCCATGGCACGCATACCCTGTAAGAGGTCATCAGGGACAGGGTTCTACCAGACAGATGAACCATGCTCCTGGACCTGTAAAGCACTCTGTTAGCACTTTCAGCAGAATGCAGTGCCTAAAGACACATTGCAGGCTGGCCCTGATTATAACCAGCAGGGTCTGGTTACGGCTTTCGTGGCAGAGCTGAGGATTAATTAATCCATGAAAGCTGCAAAATGAGCCCCTTCTTGCTCTGTAGCCATTTAAGACATTTGCTGGATGAAAGAAATCTTGATAAAAACTAAAAAAGTTTTCTTCTTCTCAGAGAAGAGATGCCAGTTCTCATAGGACACTAGCAAAAACTGAAGAAGGCTGGAAGTGGGAAGGAGTTTATTGAAGATATGCACATGTGCATGAATACCTCACCCTATGTCCCTTAATGTACAATTAAGAAATATTTAACACATGACAAATCACCATGGGTTTTCTAAATAAACAGTAGAGTAGCTTGCTTTGCAGCCACAATTAGCAGATTACAATACCATCCCATAACAGAATAGTTCCTACTGTGATTTTTAATCTTTAATACTGCAAAACTGTAGATACCTCTGCTGCTTTCCTTCCTTTATCTGCAGCATCTGCAGTAACATAGGCTGTGGCTACACCATAGGTAGCCCAAACTAGTGCTTTAGGCACCAGGGCACGAAATGACTCTCCAACTTCATTGGCATAGCCTAAAGAAAAAAAAAAAAACACAACAGTCAAATATCATCTTCAAATACTATTACTGAAAAAAAAAATTATATTATGTGTGATCCTAGCACAAATATCTAGTCAACATTAAACATTGTATACACATAAAGATATTTGTGCAGCTGTTTTGATTACAAAACCAGAGCAGAATAAAGCTATCAAGGAATATTCCCCAATCCATGACCAAACTATGGTGGTAACGTTTACAAAGATATACACATGTTCAGCAACAAGGTAAGGTAAAGCACTTTTATTGTCTCATGCATTTAATATTCTTGTGCCACTAAGCCTACATTTGTTTAAAAACTAAACAGATGCCCTAGGGAATACATATTTTATCATTTAAAATGAAATTAAAGACTAAACATTAGCTACTATAAAAAAAAAAAAGTTCCTTTCCCCTTCCTCCTACCTATCCTGTGTAAAAGAAAAAAAAAAGTCTGCTCTGATCTGGTCACGTGGTCCTGCATCTCCAGTTCCCTTGAGTCAGTGAGTGGTGGCTGCAGGGGAGAGGAGGGAGCACTGAAAACGGCTGGGCCATGAGAGTCTGTGGGTGACACCCTGGTTTCAAGAATTCCCAGCAACTGTCTAGCACTCCATGACACGATAGAGCTGGAGCTGCAGGATCACGTGACCGGACTAAACGAAGTTAAGTATACAGATTTTTTTTTTTTTTCTCACACATGGTAGGAAGTATAAGCAGAAGGGGGGTGGGGGAGAACATATTTTAAAAACAGTTAGCATTTAGCCCACGGGTGTCAAACTGGCAGCCATCCAGCTGTTGCCAGACTACAAGTCCCATGAGGCATTGCAAGATTGACGAGTTACTAGCATGACTCCCAAAGGCAAGGCATGATGGGACTTGCAGTTTGGAGGGCCGCCAGTTTGACACCCCTGTAAAGCCTTTCCTTCCACTTTAAGATTTTTCTTTTTTTGAAAGGCCCCTTTTAATTTGTATTTTTGGTTCCTCCGGCAGGCAGGAAGCTTGAGTTTGCTGAGTCATGTTCTGTGCTATTTCAGACTTCTCTTTACCCTGAAAGGTTTCAAAATTCTAAATCAATATATTCAGGGTCAGGAGTGATCTTACACCTCATACTTACAAACCAAGGTCTTTACAAAGGACACAGTCCAGTAGCAGTCAAGGCATGGTTCCAGAACTACAGGAAACAATACAAATGGGTCCCTAGTGTGTACATGTTCTACTTATGTATTAAGTGTTTTATTATGAAGGCGTAAGAGCTAGAGGACTGCTTTAAATACGTATTTTATAGCGCCATTCAGGGGCTTGAAAATACAATCTGCCTTCCAGGAGGTGTGTTTTGACATAATTTATGCTGTATGTGTGTAAATGCTTGTGCTAAGGCCTACATGTGTACAGTGTAAATGTACTCTATTGGCCACCACTGCTCATGGCCAATATTGAAATGTGTCTGCACCAATGCTTTTGTATATATCAGAGTGGATCTGATGGAGGACCACAACATCCTAGATCAATGCTGGCTCCGTCCCCCTTGTCAGTTTATGCAGTATGAAAATATCATTCAGGGCCGACATGTAAATATCAATAGTGCATACTCAGAGCTGCCTAAACACGCAATATCTGTGTCATTATTGTAGATTTATGTCCTCCATTGTGTCCTAGCAACTAGCTGAGCAGTGGTGGCCAAAAGAGGTCATTTAAGCTGTAAGCATTTAAACACTGCTCAAATGTTGCATGTGTACAAAGCTGCCAGCAAGATCCTGTGTATTTTTATATGCCCATATGCTATAGCCTGTGTACTATTTAGGATACTGGCAACTTTGGAGCCAGAAAAAAAAAGCAGCTGTCAAAAGTACTGCAAAATTGTTTGAGGGCAGTGTGTATAGCTGTAGCCCTATACGCCCCCTAAAGTATCCCCTCAACCAGGGTTTCTCCAGAGTTTGCTGAGGATTCGTTGAGCAAATAATTTCCATCTCTGAGAAAAGTAACCACTGACATCAATGATCTATTTGACTAGCTTTCCACTAACCACTAATATAAAGAGCATTCTTCCCTCTGACCACCAGTGTAAAGGGGTGCATCTCCAACTGACCACCAACGGAAGGGGGCATGTCTCAATTGATCACCAATGTAAAGAAACATGACAATTTTCACCTTTCTGCCCACTGTTATCATTTACTTAATTTCATTATCATTACTACGGAAAACAATTTTGTAAATTTGTAAACTTTTCATGTAAAACAGCTCTGAGTTTTAAATATGCTAAGTGTGCTACATCCTTATTTTATTTTCTGTCTACACTAACGTGTCTTTTAGAGCCAGTTCACACCACATGCATTCCAGTAAGTTTTCCTTCTGCATCAACGCATGGTAGTAGGTTATATGATTTCCAATGGCATGCACTATATTGCAAAAAGTATTGGGACGCCTGCCTTTACACACACATGAACTTTAATGGCAGTATTAGTCTGTAAGGTTCAATATTGAGTTGACCCACCCTCTGCAGCTATAACAGCTTCAACTCTTCTAGGAAGGATTTTTCCACAAGGTTTAGGAGGGTGCCTATGGGAATGTTTGACCATTCTTCCAGAAGCGCATGTGAGGCCAGGCACTGATGTCAGACGATACGGATGCCTTAAGAGTTCCCTTCACTGGAACTTCAAAGGGGCCAAGGCCAACTCCTGAGAAACACCCCCACATCATAATCCCCCCTCCACCAAACTTTACACTTGGCGCAATGCAGTCAGACAAGTACTGGCAACCACAAAACCAAGCACGTCCATTGGATTGCCAGACAGAGAAGCGTAATTAGTGATTCCAGAGAACACATCTCCACTGTTCTAGAGTCCAGTGGTGGCATACTTTACACCACTTCATCCGACTCTTTGCATTGTACTTGGTGATGTAAGGCGTGGATGCAGCTGCTCAGCCATTTAAACCCATTCCATGAAACTCTCTACGCACTATTGTTGTGGTAATCTGAAGGCCACACGAAATTTGGAGGTCTTAGCGATTGACTCTTCAGACAGTCGCGATTTCTGCGCACTGTGTGCTTCAGCATGCGCTGACCCCTTTCTGTCATTTTACAAGCCTACCACTTCGTGCCTGTTCATTGCTGTTCTTCCCAGTTGCTTCTAATATGGAATATTTAGTAGCAAGGACATTTCATAGACTTAGGGCTCGTTCACACTTGACTGTTTTCCAACTCTTGTCAAACGCCCCTATAGCGTTTGACAAGCGTTGGTCCGGCGTTCGTGGAGCTTTTTTTAACGCTCTGCAAACGCCGCATGTGCGGTTTAGCGGCGGTTGCTAGGCGTTTGCCGAGCGTTAAAAACGCTCCACGAACACCTATAATGAAGTTTGAATGATGTTAACACTACGCAAACACCCCGCAACCGCACTGCAGTTGGGAGCGGCACCATAGACTTGAATAGAAAGCTTCAACTCCTGACTCGACCAGAGGCGGCCGTTTTTTCCGCGACGCTAACACTCCCGTGTGAACAGCACTGTCAAGAAAGGAATCAACGCTGGTGGTGCTGATGGGCTGCAGTACCAGTTCTTGCCAGCGGGTGCTTTTCGGCAGCCAGGATCTCACCTCCTGCAATCAAGCCATCACCTGAGGCTGATTGCAGGAGGTGTATTTAAGCAATAACCAGGCCTGCAATCGGTGCCTTGGTGTATGGTTCCCATGTGCCTGTGATAACCTGTTTTCCTGAACCTGCTCCCTGTTCCTGTGATCTTCTCTGTGTCCTGTCTGCCACTCTGTACCCCATGCTTGATCATATGTCAAGGATCCGGATATGACCAGAGATGTGTGGACTGACACAGGGAATAGCAGGCTTCAGGAGTAATGTAATAATATAGTATATTTGTGCAACACACCAATATACAAAACCCACCTTGCAAGTAAAAAAACAAACAATCAGAATCCTTCACCCAATATATACAGAACAAAAGAGTAGTCAGGGCTAGCCAGGGTCATACACAGTTGATCCAGCATGGGGTACAGAGAGACAGACAGGACACGGAGCAGATCACAGGAACAGGGAGCAGGTTCAGGAAAACAGGTTATCACAGGCACATGGGAACCATACACCAAGGCACCGATTGCAGGCCTGGTTATTGCTTAAATACACCTCCTGCAATCAGCCTCAGGTGATGGCTTGATTGCAGGAGGTGAGATCCTGGCTGCTGAAAATCACCCGCTGGCAAGAACTGATACTGCAGCCCATCAGCACCACCAGCGGCGAGTCCTTTCCTGACAAGCACCATGTGCTGCAATGGGCAGAATTTTCACAGGCGTTTGGGAAACGGTAAAAAACGCTTCCCAAACGCCTGTCTGCCGCTTGCAAACAAGGCTAGTGTGAACGTAGCCTTATTGCACATGTGGCAACCTATCACGGTACCACGCTTGAATTCACTGAGCTCCTGAGAGCGACCCATTCTTTCACAAATGTTTGTAGAAGCAGTCTGCATGTCTAGGTGCTTGATTTTATACACCTGTGGCCATGGAGGTGATTGGAACACCCTAATCCAATGATTTGGAGGGGTGTCTCAATATTTTTGGCAAGAAGGTGTAGTTAACACCAGTGCAGTCAGTTCCAGAGAAAAAAAGTGGAACATGGCCTTCTATAAATTTAGGCCAAAATGTATTCTGCTATATGTGTTTGGTAAAAAGTAAAAAAAAAAATCCCAAAAAGTATATATTAAGTGGTTTGTGTGAAAGCTGTAGCATCTACAAACTATTTTATATATACAGTTGCAAGAAAAAGTATGTGAACCCCTTGGGATTACGTGAAGTTTTGCATGAATTGGGCATAAAATGTGCTCTGAACGTCATCTAAGTCACAACAATAGAAGAACACAGTCTGCTGAACATAATACTACACAAACATTAGATGTTGCCATGGTTTAACTGCACATAACATGTAAACATTCACAGTGCAGGGAGGAAAAAGTATGTGAACCTTTGGACTTAATAACTGGTTGACCCTCCTTTGGCAGC